CAGGTAAGCAGAAGGCTCAGGTAAGCAGACGGCACAGGTAAGCAGAAGGCTCAAGTAGGCCAGCTCCTGCTGGACACCAGTCTTTCCTCCCCACCCTGACCTTGGGGCTGGCTGCCTTAAGACTGGCGCAAGCTCTTCGAAAAACTTGATGCTTCTCTCCTCAAGCTTTAAGGAAAACTTTTTCCTTGTGTGACAGATATGTCCTTTCTCGGGAACAATGCTGCCAGAATAAATTTAACTAGATATGTCTGTCTCCAGAATTGAACTATGTGTCCCACCCCCAAGCCACCTCCAGTCCCTCCTGGATAACTGTGATGGCCTCTCTTCAGCTTCCACAGAGCACTTCAGTCCCTTAATAATGTCTTTTTTTTTTTTAAGATGTATTTATTTATGCATACAGAAGTGGGGTATAGGCCAGAGGTGCAGGGGCGGTGAGAGGATTCACCAGAGACAAGAGAGGGGAGCAGCGGGCAAGACAGGAGAGGTCTGCTGCGCCATGGGGGTCACCTCCCTGGCTGGGATTGAACTCGTGCTGTAGTGGCTGTGATAGCTTCATTGTGCTGTGCTTTAACCCGCTGCACCACCAGGGAGGGCCCCTTGATGTCTTTTAATAGTCCCTGTCAGCTTCAGAATAAAGTTCAGAGTTCTGATGGACTTTAAGTCAGTGCAACATCTGATGATGTCCACTCTGCCTGGACCATCTCCCCCTTGCCAGCTTGTTCCCTGAGATACCACACTGTGACCAGATGTTTCCATGTCTGCCTCCCTAGCCAAACAGTTCCTCGAGGACAGGATTCAGATCTGTGTCATTCTAGTAACCACAGGTCCTCACCTGGAGGCCACTGGCACTGCTGTCAGACACTTGTGGTAAGTCCCCTCCCCGCTTAAAATGCTGCCTCATTTTTTCTCAAGTCAGGTTATTCAACTTTGCTACCTCTTTGAACTCAGAAACCCAGGCCTCCTGGGCCACTTGTTTCTCCTCTCCCAGGATAACCTGCTTTTCCCTCAGGGAGGTTCAGATTTCTGCCCTATTTGGCCAAGAAATTTTCTTAACTAAGACTCTTGCCAGATTCAAGTTCTAACTTTTAAAAGGTCCATTGGGGGCCCTTTTTGTTGGGGGGTCTCCCTGGTGGC